TTTAACTGGAACTAAGCCAAAGAGACCATGTGACGTTTTATAAGCTCTGGCATATGGCTTTTTTTATTCGTGTTTATGTTGAGATTGTTTATTTTCTATTAAAATCTTTTGCCTTACTTTACTAGGACTATGCTCGTTAATCCAAACTCTTCAGCAACTCTTTGGGGTTCACTATAATCTCCACTAAATCACTGAAATTTTCTATACTCGCTAGTCCCTATTTACAAACTATATTTTTAGTAAAAAAAAAGTAAACAAAAAAATATTCTAGCCTGCTTCTTTTTTTTAAATGCATTTTACGTATTTGATAAGCAAAGAATTATTTTATCATTTAAAATATAATGTAAACCAAGCAAATTTTCCCAGTTATGTCTCCCAGCAATGAAAATGATGAAATATTTTAGTAAAAACATAAAACACAACTTACTATGCCAATGATTTCATTAATTGTCTTGGTGTCTCAGCAGATTCGCGTATTGGTGGACTGGTAGTATATAAAACCTGATCCTGCTTTCGAACACCATTCATAGAACGTCCAATAGAACTTGCTAAAGTCTCACCAAAGACACAATAACCACTGCGTCTGGCACGACCGATTATTTCAGCGGATGATTTGCATGTGATGCTTGTTACATAAAGCGGAACTTTCATCTGTTTTATAGATGAAGTAGTATGTATGTAAGCGTTAGGTGAACAATGTTAAAAATACATATTATGGATAAGATCTTAATATATATTTTTTGCGTAAAAATAAATGAAAAAATAATAATTTAATAACATACATTTAACTTAAAAAATTATGAAAGTAATACAAACAAGCAAATATTAGTTGATGTATAGTTATTGTTAGTCTAATGAATTATTGTAGAACAATGCATTGACTTATGAAGTATGAAGTATGTGCAGTATTAAATAAGAATGGAACAACGATTCAAAAAAAAAAAACACTAAACAATTAACAGTTTTTGATGGAATTTTATAAGCAATTATAGAATATATCAAATTTATTAAAGGAATCAAGACGTTCTTGTTCAAAAACTGTTCTTTGTTTTAATGCACTGTGTATAAACAATTATAGTTTGATTTAAGTAGGCAGCTGGATATCGATTGCGCAAAATGGTTAAAAAGAGAGAGATATTAATTTTGTATCGATACAATTTTGTATTGACCTTTTAATGAGTAAAAACAAAATTTGGTTGAAGGTATTGCGCAGTACGATCAAAATCTACCCTACCCTTCAAATCATAATCTGTTAATGTTTCCCACTATATACAAAAAACATATCACATCACCCATAACTGTGGACAAACTTACTTTGCCAACAATTTCATCATAAATTCAGGTGTTGTCGAGTCGGGACGTAAAGGTGGACTTAATATATGCGCTGCGGCGTGATGGAAACATTCATGCTGATAATGTGTACCATCGGTGCCCAACGCTGCTGCAAGGGTTTCACCAAAAATACCTCGATTTCTGTAACGTTTACGTGCACGTGCCAATTCAATACCCGCCGATTTGCTCATAACATGTACTACATATAGTGGGCAATCAACCTGTACATGTATTTGTGTGTGTGTATATATATCGAGTGCGTTTATATAAGTGTTTTGTATTTCGTTGATTAATATATCGACGTACGAGTATGATATATTTACAGTTTGGATAGTAAATAAAAAAAATTGCACAATAAAACAAACAAAATAAAATAAACATAAATAAATTATAAGAACTTATACATATATATATATAAATTATAATATTATATATATTAGAGAAGTTGATATTTATGCTATAAAATGATTTAAAAAGTTTTTAAGTTTGTGGGTATCTCCAAAAGATCTAGCAAAATATCGAAAACATAGTATACCTCTAAAACAAGAATTAATTACAATTATCGAAAAGAGTTATTATCGCCTATTCTGGCTATTAAACTAAACTTACTAGTCATTACTAAGTCTAAGTTTTTGAAAAATAATAGGAACTTTTTACCGATGAATATATTTTCACAAAAGTTGTGTTTATTTATGTTATGTAAGTTTGTGTAATTTTGTCATCTTCACGTTGTTAGTGCAGTTAGGTTGCACTTTTGCTATTGTTTATTATGATCCAGAGAGAAATAAAAAGTTTAATTTACAATTGACTATAAGCTCACTTTTTAATGAGGACATTTTCAATGTCTGATTTAATTACATTATTAAATACAGTGTTAAAGTTTTAATACATTGATTAAACATTTTTTGTTACTATCACAAGTGTGAGGATGAAACTCATTTGAATAACTCATTTGAACACAGATCGTTTCGTGATTAAAATGTATGGTGGTCATTGGTGAAGGAAATATAAAGTACATATTTTTGTAACAAATTTGATTTTATGAAAAACCTAATTTTTGACTTTTGAAGTTGATAAGTAGATCTGCTATATTACAAAAGTTGTATAATAAATCTTTAAGATGCTGCCTCAATGAATGTGTAACCTATTGCTTTAATACCATTGTATCTAATAAAATGAGGTCATTCTGTATTAAATTAAGATAATTAAGATACTGTTTTTTCACTTAATATCTAACTAGAAGAGATTCTAAATTTTATTTAATATCTTTGAAGTCAAGTATTGTCGTATAATAATAGTTTATGTTTATTAAGCAGGTTTTGATATTTACAAGGTATATCCGCTTATAAAATAAAATACAAAACATAATTCTCAAAGTGTAAAATCTTAAATGCCAAGCTATTGATATGTACACAAGTTCAGATTATAAAAATGCTATACCAAAACCAAAAATACTAGATCGCATAATTATATTTAAAAAAAGAAAACAAAAACAAAAATTTTAAATCAAATAAATAAAAAATATTCTAATTTCTTATTCTAGTTCTTAACATATACCATAACTTTAGGATAATCTCTTATATCATTGATTTCATATTTATATATATATTATTACTGCCTTCGATTTGCTACACCTATAATGGCATGAGAATAAAACAACATCTAAATGGTATTATCTTTAACTGTAGCAAATGCTTGATATATAATTTCTTTTGTAATTAAAATAGTGTTCACACAAGGAGCTAAACCAATATAATATCATATCTTAGTAATTAGCTATGATGACTTGGATGTTATTATTCGTAACCGAAATAAAAGTCGCCTAGCTAAGATGGTTAGCATATCGAACGCGATAATATTTTAATATGAAATAATAAATTATATTTATATAATAAAATCATATATGAAATCTTAACTGTTCACATAAATTGAGACATATTTGAAACTCACTTGATGTGCCAAAATGCAAGCACGGTTCACAGCTTCCGCCTCAACTTCTTCCTGCCGTGACAATTCATGACCTTCTGGTCCAGTTATGCCAGCTGCCAACAATTTACCAACATTTTTGGCAATCACGTCACCATTTTCTGCATGTACCTAATTAGCATAAAAAACCGCAATGCAATCAATTTGCAGTTAAAAATAAATAAAATTTTACAAATACCTGTGCGACACCGCCTAACGAGCGAATACGTTCGAATGCATCCAAGAGTTCAGTGTCATTTAATTGATATAAGCCTTTGTAGGCCATAAACATTTTAAATGAGTTGATACCTAGTTCTTCGCACATTATTCTCATTTCATCGGCCACTGATTTAGACCACCAAGTAATGCCAACATGAAAAGCATAATCACAACAAACTTTTGGGTCTGCCCAAGCACGCCATTTGTCATAAGCTTCAACGAGTGATTCACCTTTATCAGGTAGCACAAAATCAACTAGAAAATAGAATGGAGTATAAGTAATTATTTCAATTGATTATAGGCACTATGTACTTACTGATGGTGGTGGTACCACCAGCAATGGCAGCTTTTGTGCCATGATAGAAATCATCTACAGCAACTGTGCCACCAAACTTCAATTGCATATGTGTATGTGGATCTATGCCTCCGGGTATTATCAATCTGCCCCCTGCATCAATTACTCGTACACCACCAGGTATTACAATATCAGAAGATGAACCAACAAATCTTTGAAATAGAAATATAAAAAATTTTATAAAATATAGTGATCATTATAAATAAATAATATAGAAACTAATTTTAATCAGTTTCCCTAGATTACTGTACGAAATCATAAACAGGTTTTTTGAACAGTAGTGAACTACAACAATAAAAATTCATTTTATATTATTTTAATTAATTGAATTTTTGACTGACCATACGACTGTTTCGAGTATTGCCAAATATGCATTCTCGGTGGTCTTGGAAATAATTCTTGTATTTAATTATTGGTAAATAAATTTTTTTGAAACTGCAAGTACCAGGAATAGAACTCATGTTCTGCCAAATTATGTCAAGTTATAAAAAACAAGAAACGCACGTAAATAAAACATTTACGATAATTACTACTTAAAAAAAACTATAACTATTAAAAAACTATTACGAGCATTACAAAATAAATTGAACAATTGACAAAATATTATTCTATTAATAATCACACTTTTTTCTCACCCACACTACATACCCGTAGCAGTCATCTGGGACTATTATATTTACTTCTTGGCGTATACAGAAACCCATTAAAAAGGACGTTTTCAAAAATCATTTAAAGTTTATATTTAATATTCAATTTAAAAAGTGAACTAGTATATTTACTGTAATATGGCTCCAAATATTTTGTTTGGGTAGCTTGAATTCCAAACCCTTTTACTCCCCTTGTATACACCATTGTACTTACTGAAACTACAAGTCCGATCGAAACCGAAACATTTGTCAATATTAAAAACATCTTGTCTGCAGTTAATTATTGTAGTTACTGATATTATATATATTAAGTACAGCTTGTAAAAAGTGAATAAGACTACAAGTATCCGTTTTTTTTTTTGAAGGATTTTGATTTTTTAAAATTTAATCTAAATTATATTATTCCTTTTGTTATGTGTCTTTGATATAATTAACTGTTTTAGATCATGGTTTCTAATTTCATAATCTGCCTGTGATCATTAAAAACTAATTTCAGTACATGATTTTGATTTGAAAATTTGTCTTAAATTATAAAGAATATTTTTTTAATAGTAGTGAATTATTTAATTCAACTTTTGTCTGACATGGCAGCTGTTTCGAGTATTCTCAAATAAGCTATCATTTGTGACCTGTTGGAAATATTTCATATATATAATTATTTTTAAATAATTTTGTAGAAGCTCAGAGTCAGTGTTGCTTAACCAAGGGACTCAAAGCCGTAATTGATTTATATTATTGTGACCTGAAATTTTGTGATTTACTGTGAAAGTTCTTCTGAAATTATGTTTTTACTTTTGTTATATATCTATCATGATATTTACCATATCTTAAACAGGGTTTCTAATTTAACATTGGTTTACATAAATATATTAATAATTAATTGTTTTAATGACCAAATATTTTTAATAATAATTTTGATTTTTTAACGTTCAGTAGTAATTGTTCAGTAGTTAATACACTTTTTTAAAAAATTGTTTTTGTTTTTTAAAAAATTTTATTTAAACAATAGTCTATAGTGATCATCATCAGTATATAGTATCCTGATGATGACTATAGATTATAGTCGAAATATCGGATTAAATAATATTTTTTTAAAAACCAAAAACAATTTTTTAAAACTGTTTATTATTTAACTACTGACCAATTACCTTGTTAAAAAACAAAATTATTATAAATATATTAATGCATTATACGTTCACATGGAATTGAAGTCAACTATCAATCAAATCTCAAAACTACTATGATCACTAATTCTATGTTTTTAATACAAAATATAAAAAAGTATATAAGTATACATATATCTTTATTTTTTCTTTCTAAACTTATGAACATGGTTATTACATTTAATAATTCTATATACATATATATACATAATTACTATCATATATTAAATCACTATCATTTTCCATAAGTTAAATCTCAAAACTACTATGATCACTAATTCTATGTTTTTAATATAAAATATAAAAAAGTATATAAGTATACATATATCTTTATTTTTTTTTTTCTAAACTTATGAACATAGTTATTATATTTAATAATTCTATATACATATATATACATAATTACTATCATATATTAAATCACTATCATTTTCCATAAGTTTAAAAAGAATTATTGTTTTATGGCTTGCTTAATATACACATCTTATTTCTATGTACGTCTACATAGGTATAGAGTTTTCATATATAAAGTAATTTTCGTTACTCAAGATAAAAGTTTTCATAAGTTAAGTGTTTCAAAACTGATGAACCTTACTGAGTCTAGTCACTGATGAACCTTACTTATTAGACTTATAATTTAATTGAATAAGATAATGTGTAAAGTGTTTTATAACCAATATACTCACTTTATTGTTCCATCCTCAATGTAAATGTCAGCCTTAAAGGTCCTATCGTGATTAACTATTTGTCCATTTTTAATGTAGACCCTATTTTGAGCGCTCTGCGAAAAATCAATTTATTATATATATTTCAACAAAAATCCTTGTATTTACCTGCAAATGTATTGGAACCTTTTTTACTGGTTTTGGACTGGTCGACATTTTCTGTAAATAGACTAAAAATGTGATTGAAAATTAATAAAAATATATTGACGTAGGTTATTAATATAGGTCACAGATTATAAGTACTAATAGTACAAAAATTAGTGGCGTTATAAATTATAATTTGAAATATTACGAAATAATTGACTATTTTCAAGTACAGCACCACATGAAGTTTATGATAAGCAATGAACTATGAAAACATTTCATTTATTTAAAATTAAACGTTTCTATTTGTTTATAAAATAAATGTATATATACATTGTATATATTTAGACAATAAATTAAATATATATTCTGAAGTAGTAAATGGTTTTAAAGATATGCGTACAGGTTGTTGTCTTTGACTTTAAGAAAAAATTGACTGTTGCCCATACATTGTTTATGATTTTAATCTGGCAAACAATATTGATAAGATAATATTTTGTGCAAATATCTGTAAAAGTTTGTATAGATAATTTATACATTATGTTAAAATATACACTATCTCAGATACCGAACCTCAAACGTACAGAACACTTTATGTTTTTATAAGAGGAACAATCGTATTCAATAGAGCGATAATTTACTTCATATTCGTATGAAAAGGCGTGTTTATTATTCGAATACTTGAAGTATTCTTAAAATGGGTAAATGTCATAAATTATTGCCTAAAAATTTAAATTTTTGTGATCTAATATAAATAAATAATATACTGAACTAATTATGATAATTGCATTAAAGTGTACACTTAAAAGTTCTTAAAAGCCTATTAAAGTTTTAAAGGAAAGTGAATGGGGTTTTCCAACATTTAAAACATGATTTGGTAATTGCTTACATTAACTACTAAAACAGAATGTTTCGATACAATACTCGACTCTGTTTAATAATATATATCCCCTAAAAAATAAAAGCTTATAAATTCATTGTTTTGTTGGATGAAGTCTCTGAGTCTGAGATATTATTTTGAGATTTACGAGTAGTTAGTAGTCACTAAAAGCCTTGCAAATTCAGTGACTGGGGACGCCATTCAAAGTTTAATTTATGCATTTAACTATAATAAATATAACTAACTATATAATATAATGCATTGTGATCTTGGTAACAGACCAACTTTTTTCGCTATGGGACATTATTTTCTTAATAGATGCATCTTCAAAAACATCAATGACCGACTATAATCTTCGCAGTTAGACTATTTGTTGGTTTTCGATATCTTCTTTATTTAAAATACACTCCACAAATTTACAACTGTTAAAGATATGCAAATTGAAAATGTCTTGATAGAACTGTAGAGACCATTTTGTGATGACTCATAAATAAAAATTTTTGATTTTATGCTTGGGGTTGTTTCCGCTTATTTGTAGAAACAACCCCAAACTTTTTAAACATAGACAAGTTAATGAAAATTGTGCTGGAATGTATGTCTATTTAATACAGAAATACATGAGTCACTAAATACTCAAAGCTGGAGTAATTACATTAACTGATTGTATAAATGGGTTGAACACCCTTAAAAGCACAACAAGTACAAATAATTTACAATAAATTCATCTATACAACCAATTGATAATGCTAGTATGTATAATATTTATCATTATAACTTAAGATTTGACAATAAAAATTTGCTATGATTTTCATTACTCAATTACTTAAACCAAAATTACATTTTAAACAGAATTACTTAATTACGATAATAAAAATATAGAATGACAAATAGTACTGACGTGGCATTATAAAAACTACTATACTTATATGTGCGAGTATGTATGAATTATTTTAAGAGTATTGTATGGATGAACTTATCATTTAAAATAATACACATATAAAGACATATAAATAATACATTACTGTATATTAACTTTAGCCAGGCACAAAACGTTTTTAAAGTGGTTTGAAAGAGTTGGCTAACAGATATATTTTCTATAGCTGTGATGTAGTATTGATAAAAATATTGATAAATTGATTAACCCGTTCATACAGCAATAAAGCATCGTTAAATTTTTTAGCAAAAAAAAAACATGTATCAAGAAATTAAACTTTTTATAATTTCAATCTGGATCTATATACGCCAGTTGAATGACGCAGCAGGAATGTTTATGTTTCAAAAACCCTATATCGTTATAGTTAGATATTTAGATATAAATGATTGCAGTCTCAAAAAATTATTTACAAATAATTAAATATAAGAATAATTTTAAGACCACTAATGATGGGTATTTGGCAATACTCGAAACAGCTGTATGGTCAACCAAAAATTCAATTAATTAAAATAATATAAAAATAAATTGTCGTTGTTGTAGTTCACTACTTTTTGAAAACCTCTTAATAATAATTTATGAAATTTTCATTTCGAAAAAATAATTTATCTATTTTTCATCAATATTATTCAATACTTCCTCAGATACTTAATTGGCATATAATAAATCTGTTCCCGTATTCACTTGTGAATTTTTAGTTGGAACTACCTATTTTACATACCTGTATCCAAAAACGACTAAGAAAAGCACAAAAGTGCTTTGATTTTATTTAAAAAATTTGTGAAAGTAAAGTTGAAAAACTGCTAACCCAGGGTCCATCCCAATTTTCGGTGTACGCTGATTTGACAACGAATCTTAGTAGAGTTAGCTGTTCTCAACAACTTCTTTACGATATTCCATAAAACGATATAGCTTACTGCTCACGATAATAAGGTTTAAAATTGTTAGCTTTTTCATTGATCAATGAAAAATCTACACACCCCATCTAATGCTTACATGTCTAAGCAGTTGTTACATAGATTACAAGAGCGATTAATAATAATAATAATAAAAAGCGCCAGATTGTTGCTAAGGGTTTTTATGTAAAAATTTCCAAAATTAAAGACCAATATCTCGAAAACTTATCAATATTAGTGTAATGAAAAATTGTTTATAATAGCTGTTTTTCTTAAAATCTGTCAAATGGGAATTCCCGGAATGTCGAAACCGGGTCGTAATGTTATAATTCTCTACAAAACGTAGAATATTTCTTTGGCGAAACCAAAGGAAAAAAGAAAGATGATCCCAATGTATTTTCGAAATAATAAATTCTGCCACTCAATTTCTAATCTAATTATTATGTAAAAAATTAAATACTGTAGTATTTTTTGATAGGAATATCGTATTTTATCCATATCAAAGGATTACACAACTATAACGATTTGTCGCACGGATTGCTGTGTCCGTGTTGTTTGTCATATAAATATATTTTTTATCATTATTTATGAATATTGAATAGCAAATATATACGTATATACTCTTTAACTAAATTTTGAGTTCAAGTCAAACGTTGTCTCGTATACATTGTGACCGAAAGGTTTTCGGAAGTTCTCATTTAAAATTCGCGCGCTGTATATTTTTCGATATTTTAAGTTTATGTAGTTTGGCAGCACTGTCCTTAATTACTATGCCAAAAATGAGCGCGATCTGTCAGACAGTTCGTTACGCAGCTGTTGAAACCAGTTCCCCTCAGTAGTGCGTTGCGAAAAAACAATGGAAAAAAATATTGAACAAAGAGTTTGCATCAAATTTTGTGTTTCGAACGAAATTTCGTGTGCAGAATCGTTGCGAATGCTACAAAAGGCTTATGGGTAATCAGTTTTATCGAAAACTCAAGTTTATGAGTGGTACAAAGCCTTTCAGGACGGTCGTACGACCGTCGAAGACATGCCGCGTTCTGGACGACCTTCGGCCTCTACCACCGACGAAAACATTGAAAAGGCAAAGGAAATCGTGTTCCAAAATCCTCATGTGAGTGTTAGAGAGATAGCACGAGAGCTAGGCATCGGTCGTGAGACCACGGCCTCAATTGTGGAAGGATAATTCATGGATTTTTCATGACGATAATGCTCCCTCGCACCGAGCCAACATTATCAACGATTTTAAGGCCAAACATTCAATAAATACCATCGAACAGCCACCGTATTCACCTGATCTTGCACCGTGTGACTTTTTCCTGTTTCCCAAACTCAAATTACCACTCAGAGGAACGCGTTTTGAATCCATAGAAGACGTAAAACAGAATTCGCAGAGGGAACTCAAAGCCATACCGGAAAGCGCCTATAAAAAATGTTTTGATGATTGGAAGAAACGTTGGCATTTGTGTATCGCTTCTAATGGAGCATATTTTGAAGGAGATAAAATAAATATTGATGAAGATTAAGAATTTTGCGTTTGTACATTGTGACCGGAAACTTTTCGGTCACAATGTATGCACACGTGCTGCAAATTTAGCTGCATTCTGATGCTATGAAAACACATGAAGTTTTTTACTACCCTTAAAAATTTATATCACGTTCTGCTAACCCATTATGATGATTGTGGTAAAATGTAACAAAAACCACAGTGATATTTTTACCACATTGAAACCCCCTATACTGTCAAACAGAAGATGTAACGATATGTGAAGAGAAAAGTTACAACAATGAAATGATTTGGGGATGATGAACTTCCTCAATAGGAACATAAACACTTAATAACCGTGCTGCCTTGTGTTTTGATTACAGTAGATGAGTATGGATAAATAATTTTTTGAGATACTTTAATGCACGAAAGACGACCTATAGCGAATGATTTATATGCAACGCGTGCTATTAACTGCAATGGAACGATTAACAGCAGCACTGCAATGCTGCAGATAATTTGAGGTGATAAATTATTCCGAGTTTATTTTACAACTATTCCAAAGAGAAAATATTTATGCTGTTGTTAAAATATTTAAATAAGTTTGTGAGAAGTTTAAAAGGCTTAACTTTAAATACTTCAAAGCCAAATATAAATATTTATATGCTGTTACTGAAATGTACATAAAACTATTTTAATACAACCAAACGGTAGTATAAATTACTGCATTTTATTTTGCATATAATTTAATTAAAAAAAATTAAATTGAAAAAAAAATTTAATTGAATTTTACTGGGCTTAATCGCTAAGCGTTATCCATTTATAATGCCGACAACGACAACATAAACATTCATTAACACATTTTCATTACCGACAGAAAATAAAAAAAAACAAAGACACCTCATATATAATGGAATGGCCCGATTTGGAAGCAGCACTTCCATCAAATGCCATTTCCTGTGCTTTGTACTTGCCATGTGAGGAAGCATTGTTTATTTTTATGTGATAATGTTGCTCCAATGTGTACTGTCTGTATTTGTAATATATTATACTGCTTTTAATGCCAAACAACGGGTGAAGTGACACTTTATCTGCAATATCTAAATTGGTATACATAAGTAGTTCCATACATGTCATATAGACATTCGTATCTACATTATGCATTATTTAATATGCATATCGTATAATGATTTAAAAATAAAGCATTTTTTATAACAAAAAAAAAGCGTTTGGGGATGTGAAAACCCTAGTAACCTGTACACCTGTAATTGTAAATGAATATAATGTGTATAATATGTATTGGAAGTGCTAATATAGCATAAGAACTAGAATTTGCGGATTTGAATTTTTAATCCTAAATTTTGATCAGTAATTTTTGATTCTTCATATCGTTTATATAATTATTTCATTCAAAACTCTTATTATTGTTTATAAGACAAATTCTCTTCGGAACAGTAAATTTTTGGAATAAAAGTGCAAGTTATCGGAAAACTGATCAAATTTGTAAATTCAGTGCAAGACATATAATGCGAATACTTTCTCATATAAATAATGAAACAAAAAAACAACTTTCACTAAGAGAAAGAACTCTCCAATGAAGATTAGGTCGCTCCATGCCAAGCAAACTGAAAAAAGTTCTTTAAATATGATTACTCTCATAATATTAATTCCCTATATTCACTTGCCTATATTTTTTATGTTATTGTAACTATTATAATTATATATAATTATTGAATACTGTTTTGATAATTACTTTTCCTTGTAAGTTAAATGAATTATCAAAGAAAAAACTATTATTGTTTTAAAAAAATTATTGTTTTAAAGAAAATCTTTTTATTGGTTAATTTCTGATTTCAATACCGAAAAAAATTCAAATCAATCTTATGATATAGTAAATTAACCTATGGGCTATTTCTCTCGGTTAAGGTTACGAGTTACGACTCTCGATGAGAGTATTAAACAGTAAATTGTTATTGAAACAGATCATGTGTCATATTGTGAGATTTTGTAAGACCAATGTCAATGCCATTGCTTATATATTTAAAAAAACATTGCAAATAATTAATAAAGTTAAACTTTTAATAAATTCTTTACATTTCTAATAAATACTACTACATATTACTGATATTGATAGTTCAACCGTGAAGTTCACTATGTAAAAAGAACGGGAAATCATTTCAAAACTATGTTGATTTCACTATATATACATATTACAAATATATAATATATTCATAAGTGTGACCTCGTAAATTAAT